TACTACCTGCAGTTTCAGGCATCCATTAGAGGTCTTACAACATATTCCAGGAGAAGGGGCGGGGGGGGAGCGGGTAATCGAGTCAAATTTATTAATCTTACATTTTACATTTGAAAGGCCCTGTCACTGTATTGAGGAGGCTGCCATCTGCTGGAGTTAAGGGGAACTGCAGGGCAGATCTTGTCCTCCAGCAATTCATTCCCAATTTGGCTGTATATGGTACCTGATCTTTAGTCCCTGCTGTGAGTTTGAGGCCATTCTCTACTTTCATTAAAATTAATAATAATATTCGCATTGAACATGTATTAAACATTTATTATCTCCAAGGCACTTAATTCAACTTTACATGAATTTCACTTAATTGCTACAACAGTCTTACAGGTTGTTGATACCAGTGTTTTATTTATTTTACTTTGGGGGAAACTGAGGCACAGACAGGCTGAGGAATATTCCAAGGTTCTCGGGAAGCTAGAGGTGAGTGCACCGCTGGTGGGAATGCAGCCTGGTGCAGCCTCTGCGGAAAACAGGACGGAAGGTCCTAAAAAGTGAAAAATGGAATTGCATTATGACCCAACAATTCCACTTCCAGGTATATATCTGAGGAAACAAAAAATACTAATTTGAAAGAATATATGCACTCCTATTTTATTGTGTTATTTACAATACCCAAGATATGGAGGCAGGCCAAATGCGCACCATTAGAAGAGTAGATAAAGTAGCTGTGGTGTATAGATACAATCTGGCCATAAAAAAAAGAACAAAATGTTACCATTTGGGTCAGCATGGATGAACCTAGGGGGTATTATGTTAAGTAAAATAAGTCAGAGAAAGACAAATATCACATGATTCACTTATATGTGGAATCAAAAGAGCAAGATGAACAAACAAAAGCGAAACAGACTAATAGATACAGAGAAAATACTGATGGCTGCCAGAAGTGAAGGGATTAAGAAGTACAAATTGGTATCACAGAATAGTCCCGAGATGTAAGTGCAGCCTAGGCAACATAACCTATAATATTGTAATACCTTTGCACAGTGCCAGGTGAGTGCCTGAACTATTGGGGGACCACTGCATAAAGTATGATTGTCTTACCACTATGCAGTATCTATAAAACTATCTACATCAATAAAAGTGAAACATGCAAATTGACCATCACCAGCTACACCCACCAGCCAATCGGAGCGAGTATGCAAACTCACCCAGCAAAGATGGGGGTTGGTTTGCACACACAGGCACAAAGGAAAGACTGAAGACAGAGTAGAAGAAAGAGGGAGGGAAAGTGGAAAGTGGGGCGGCCGCAGGAGGAAAGCTCGCCTGGCGGCCTTAGCTCCCTTCTCTGCTTCGCTCAGGCCACAGGAAGCCCTATTCTTATAGGAATCTTCCTGCCAAGGGCCTCCAGTTACAAAATAATATTGAATGTAACCTGTAATTAAAAAAAAGAAAAAGGAACAGAGCACAAGGCTCCATCCTTCAGGATTAAACTCAGCTCTTAGGGACTTGGTTTGCCTCTGAGGGTCTTGGCTCAGCACTTTGGGTCTGGCCTCAACTCTGCCGGGCTAGGTTTGGCTATCTGCTGGGGACTAGCTTCTCCTTTTTAGGCCTCGACTTGACTCCTTGGGCCTACCCTAGGCTCTTAGGGCTAGGCTGCAACCTTTTGGATGGACTCAGCTGTTCGGGGCTAGGCTCCGCCCTATGGAACTTGGCTCTGCCCTTGACTAGGATACACTTTCTCCCCCTCTCCCTTCTAGCCTGTCTTCAGTCTTTGCTTTGTGCCTGTGTGTGCAAATTCACCCCATCTTTGCTGTGTTAATTTGCATACTAGCTCTGATTGGCTGGTGGGCATAGCGAAGTGATGGTCAATTTGCATGTTTCTCTTTTATTAGGCACTAGGGTCATCCTTTCAGGATTAGCTGTAGCACTTAGGGCTAGGCTCAGCACTTCCTGGCTAGACTTGGCTCTTTGGGGTTCCCTCAGCTCTTCGGGTTAGCTCTGCTTTTGGGGGTACACTCAGCTGTTCTGTGCGAGGCCAGAAGAATGGAGCCTCTCTCTCTACTGGTATAAGTTAGCAAAGAGGTGAAGCACTCCTTAACAGAGCAGAGGGCTTTCTCTGTTTTCAGTTTATTCCTATGGATTTCTGGAGGGAAGCAGTAAGTAGGGCAATCATGCAAACACTCCCATCTCTCTTGGAGATTTCTTTACAAGGTCTTATGTTACTTCTATAACTAGAGGCCCGGTGCACAAAATTTGTGCCGTTGGAGTGGGGTTGGTCTCTCAGCCTTGGCTGTGCCCTCTCAGTCTGGGAGCCCTTGGGGAATGTGCGACTGAGGCTTGGGCCTGCTCCCTAAACTGGCAGTTGGACATCCTTAGTGCTGCCACGGAGGCAGGAGAGGCTCCCACCACCAGCCATGGGCCTGGCTTCTGGCTGAGCAGTGCTCCTCCCGTGAGAGCACACTGACCCACAGGGGGCAGCTCCTGCATGGAGCGTCTTTCCCCTGGTGGTCAGTGTGCATCATAGCGATTTGGTCGGTTTGCATGTTAGCCTTTTATTATCTGCTAGAGGGCTGGTGCACAAATTTGTGCCTGGGTTGGGTTCCTTGGCCTGGCCGGCAATTGGGGTGGATCAGGGCCGGCCAGCAGCGGGAGGGGCCGTGGGACGTTGTCTGGCCTCGAGAGGTTGGCCAGCCATGGGAGGCTGGTTGTGGGAGTTCACTGACCACCAGAGGGCAGCTTCTGCTTGAAGCATCTTCCCCGTGGCGGTCAGTGTGTGTCATAGCAACCAGCCGACCAGTCGTTCGGTTGTTCAGTGGCTTAGGCTTTTATATATGTAGACTAGAGGCCCTATGCACAAACTTCATGCAAGAGTAGGCCTTCCTTCCCTGACTGCTGGCACAGGCTTCCCTCTGGCACCCAGGACCCAGGCTTCCCTCTGGCTGTTGGCAGGCACCGAAGACCTGGGCTTCCCTCACAGCCCCGGCTTCGTCCAGAAGGTCCTCTGGAAGGACATCTGGTTTAATTAGCATATTACATTTTATTAATCCTGGACGTCCTTTGGGACAAAGCCGTGGTGCCTGGGGCTGAGGAAGAAGTGGCCCATTGGTGGGAGGGGGCCGAGCCCCTTGCATGAATTTTGTGCATCGGACCTCTATTATAGGATAGACCAGTGGTTGGCAAACTCATTAGTCAACAGAGCCAAATATCAACAGTACTATGATTTCTTGTTTTTAAAAAAAAATATATTTTTTATTTTTACAGAGAGGGAGAGGGATAGAAAGTTAGAAACATGGATGAGAGAGAAACTTTGATCAGCTGAATTCTGCACACGCCCTTCTGGGGATGTGTCTGCAACCAGGGTACATGCCCTTGACCGGAATCGAACCTGGGACCCTTCAGTCCATAGGCCAATGCTCTACCCGCTGAGCCAAACTGGTTAAGGCTGAAATGTCTTTTGAGAGTCAAAAATTTTTTAAAAAATATATTTTATTGATTTTTTTACAGAGGAAGGGAGAGAGATAGAAAGCTAGAAACATCAATGAGAGAGAAACATCGACCAGCTAACTCTTGCACACCCCCTACCAGGGATGTGCCCAATGTACATGCCCTTGACCAGAATCGAACCTGAGACCTTTCAGTCCACAGGCTGATGCTCTATCCACTGAGCCAAACTGGTTTGGCATCATAATATTTTTCAAATTAAAAGACACACTAGTGATATGCTATGTTTGTAGTTACAGATAACTTTTGTAGATTTTCAGAAAGTATAAATCCCAAATTGTCAACATATATTAGTCTCAAATTTCATCTTCTTATTCTAAAAGTCCCCATGAAACAATTCTGTCCCACTCTAAGTGCTGTAAATTGTGAGAAACAGTGCTTCTAAAACATCGGTTTGTATGGTTGTTCATCCAAAGCCCACAGCTCCTCAGGACTTCCTTTGACACCTGGCTTCTATTATGGCAACACCCAGGAGTCACCGCAAAAGATCTGTTGTTGAGGCCAGAGGAAGGGCGGCCCCTCGGACCCCTCTGCTCAGGTCTGAGGCCTCGTGGCAGCGGCAGCGGGTGGGAGTGTGGTCGGGGTTCAGGCAGGGGCTGTGGGTCAGCCAGCACCTTGCAGGCTCTGGCATTGACAGCGAAGGTGTGTGTGTGTGCACCATGATGGACATTTATACCTCAGTTAGGCATTTCCCAGACACAAAATCCCAGTCTCAAACCCTCTCTCCCTCAGTGGCTAGTATTTAAAAGGAAAAACAAGCCCGGCCGGAGGTGGCTCAGCGGTGGAGCATGCCCAGACATTTGGGGGAAAGTAGCGAACGTGTGACCGCAGAGCCGCTGCCGAGTGCGGGAGAGGGCGGTCTGTGCAGCTCTGAGCTCCTTCAGGTCACTCCACTGCCTTTCGTGGCAATACAGTGGGACCCTTCCTTACAGGTTCTTGACCTCAAGGCCTTGTAAACTTAACTATGAATTTGATCCAGACGCTGTTCTGTTTCTTGACATGGATGCTCCCTTCAAAACAACTCGTTAAGCTTCAAATGTATAGTTTAAGCGCCTTCCTATTGAAGGAAACACTCACCAGGGAGGAAATGACCAGCAGCACCAGGCCTGTCTTCCTCAGGATTTGGGGGCTGCAAACACTGCTTTTGCCTTGGGTAGTTCCAAGCTAGACTCTTCCTGCCAGAACTGCCCACATTTCAGCAGTGGACTGGGCTTGTTTCCTAGGTACTTATTTTACCTCTACACTTACATCCGGGAAATAACCACAGGTTAAGTTCAGGGGGAACTTGTGTGTGTGTGTATGTTGTGTGGGTGTGTGGTGATAACATTAAGATTTACTTCTTAGCAACTTTCAAGCACACAATACAGTGTTAACTAGTCACCATGCTGTATGTACATCCCCAGGATGTATTCATCTTATAACTGGAAGTGTGTGTTCTTTGACCAACGTTTCCCCATCTCCATACCCTGACAACCACCATTCCACTTTGTTTCTATGAGTTTAACTAACTTGAACCTAATCGACAAGGCTCTCTGCTCTGGCTCATGCTCTCCTCTCCAGCATCATAGCGCACTGAAGCCAGCTCTTCTATCTTATGCTCACATAACTCTGAAGTACCGAGTCCCTCTAACGTTCCCTAGCACTGTGCCTGACTCACGTGGCTCCCCTGTGAGTGCCTGCACCATCTTTACTTCCTAAGTACTTCTCTAGGTTTACCTCAGGCCCCTCCTCCATTGACAGCATTTGGGCTCCCTGCTGTCCCATCCAATTTTCAGTCCCACCCTTCTTTATAAACCTGTCTTACTCCACAAAGACTTTCACCAAAGCACCTAAAAGCATTATTGCGTTTACTGTGTCAACTGAAGGTCACTCACTGCCACCAACTCAATGCTAACAGGAATCCCAGTTTCCATGTGGTGAGGGGAGAGATACTTTATTCCATGCAAACAGTTCAGTCCTGAAGTAGCTCCAGCGCGGCTGAGGCTGAGGTGGCTCCGGAGAAGCCAGTGTTCCGGCTCTGGTGTCACAGGTCCAGCTGCTGAGACAGCTCTGCTCCTGTGCTGCAGCTCAGCCAACACTGCAGCTCTAGTCGGGTAACACAATCTTCAATAGAAAACTGAGAGTGTGCTCTCTCAGGGGGGGACCTTTACAGAGATTTCAAGGACTGTTGTGTACCTGTACTATTCCATGCAGAAAATGTGGAGTATACTGGAAAACCATGGGAATGACTTCAGGCTGGCTTAGGCCCGGAGTGGTCTCCATGGCGGAGGAGATTAAGGAGGCACCCAGCACCCATTCATGAGGCAAATATTCTTCTCTTTTCCTGTCTACTTGGACCACCACAAGCAGTTCTCCTTCACCTGGCAGTATATCACCACCCAGCCCAAGTGGTGAACAACTACAGGTTTGTACAACTTCATCTTCAAGACCCTGACTACCCACCCCAGGATGTCACTTCACTGATGTCCTGCTACTCACCCCGGAGAGCTGGAAGGGGCAAGAATCCAGCTGTCTTGGTAAAACATCTGGCTTAATGGGGGAGATAAATCCTGGGGTGTGTGTGTGTGCCTATCCAGCAAAGTTCCTGGAGGTAAAGAAAAAAACATCAGATTTTCTTGACTATCGGTGGGTAAAAACGAAGCTTGGTTTAGAGGTGGTATTAGCAGTGAACATCAGGAGTGACAGCCCCATGCAGGATACTCAACAGCAGTGAAGGGAAAACAGCCCAAAGGCAGAACTTCAAGAACATATCACACCGTCTCCTCCACTTAAAGACCAATGACTTGTGTCTACACCCCGACTCAGAGGGGAAGGGACTTGGGAAGAATGAAACTGGACTTCCCTACACAGGCCCAGGGTCCCATGTGAGAGCTCACGGCGGCTTCCACCGCAGGGACCAGACGGTCTGTCCACTCCTCACCATCAAGTCCACGGCTGTGGGGACAGCTGCCAACCCACGGCCCACATGTGTGCCCATCAGCTCACCCCAGAAGTCGTGTGGAGCATCTGAAAGGACCCCACTGTGCTGTGTCCAGGTTTAGTGCCAACCGGGGAGAAGAAGGGCCATGACCAGCCTGGGGAAGGAGGCTTCTGCTCCGAGGGGGACTGCCCTGATGGGGGCGGGGTGCAGGCACAATGATAACCACGGGCTCTCTGCTACACCTGTCGCCTGCATCATCACCTGAATGTGGGGGGTTACCCATATTTTCTAAAAGGTTCTCATTTCTTGGGGTTCCCAGACTCTCTCTACAATGTGGGAGTTCAGGAAAAGCAGCTGGGACTCTGTCCTCTTGTGGTAACTGGGCAAGTTCAAGTGAATGGTGGCAACGGGGCTACAGCTCTGGCTCGGAGAAACAGCTCTTCCTCATCCCAGATATTGCTCCAGAGCTTGTATGAACAGGGCAATGGATCTACATGTTCACTTATTCAATATTGTGAACGTGAACTTTAACCACAAGTATTTCTGGTTCCCTCAGGGTTTGAGCCAAGGGCTTAACAAATAACACTGACCTTGTAATCCCTGTATCAACCAGGCCTTCCCTGCCAGCACCCATCTGCTGGGTGGTCCATGGAGGCTGCCAGTGCCAGGACAGACGCAGGTCCCTGAGGCCACGGGCGGAAAGGGCTTCTAGAAGAAACGGGGTCTCCACCCTGCCTTCTGTGTCCCGAGCCACCAGGTCCTGGACAGCAAAGCCCATGGTCAAGCAGAAACAGGTTTGGCCAGTGGTTGGCTTGTCTCAGCTACCTTGTGATAGCTGATCCTGGCTGGAGCCCTAAAACCCTAGATCAGAGGTCAGCAGACTTCTGTAAAAGCCATATAGCAGCCCCTGCCAGTTTGGCTGTGGATAGTGTCAGCCTGAGGACGGAAGGGTCCCGGGTTTGATTCTGATCAGGGGCATATGCCTGGGTTGTGGGCTCAGATCCCAGTAAAGGGCATGCAGGAGGCAGCTGATCAGTGATTCTCTCTCATCATTGATGTTTCTCTCCCTCTCTCTCTGAAATCATATATATATTCAAATTATTACTTGCCAATCTTTAAAATATTTTATTGATTTTTTACAGAGAGGAAGAGAGAGGGATAGAGAGTTAGAAACATCAATGATAGAGAAACATCAATCTGCTGCCTCTTGCACACCCCCTACTGGGGATGTGCCTGCAACCAAGGTACATGCCCTTGATCGGAATCAAACCTGGGACCTTTCAGTCTGCAGGCCAAAGCTCTATCCACTGAGCAAAACCAGTTGGGGGGGAGGTAGAATATTTATATTTAAAGCCATATTAACAAATATTTTAGGTTTTGCAAGTCATATATGTCCCTGTTGCAACTAATCATCTCTGCCATCGTAACATCCAAGTAGTCAATGAATGGGTGTGGCTGTATTCAAATAAACCTTTATTTACAAAAACAGGTAGATGACCAGATTTGGCCCATTTGCCAACCACTGACCACCCTCGATGATACTCAGGAGGTGATCGCACAACTGTGGTCCAGTCCAGTCTGCCCCTCTGTGAGATGGAAACCTTAGTTCTGTGCTGACAGTTGTCATTGGGGCAGAAAAGGGCACTGATCAAGAGGGCCACAGTGGAATAGGCTGAGCTTCCTTCTTCAGAAGGAACACCACTGCTTTATCCCAGGTCATACCCGTGCGCACACACAGTCCCTGGGCAGGCACTGTCCTTACCGGGCCCCTAGTTGCCCTTGTGCTGTGGCCTGACCACCTGTCCCTCTTTGGTGACGGCCCAGTGGTAGCTCTTTGGGGATGGGGAGTCCAACGCGGCTTCTATCCGAGCATCCAGGTTCTCCCGGGTGATGAAGGTTTTTACATCCTCCTATTGAGAGAGAAGGCCAGCTGAATGGGAGCCCCCGGCACAGGCCAGCCCGCCCACACTGCCTGCTGGCCTTTAGCCCACTGACAGCTCCCGCTCTCCTCTCTGAGTGCCTCGCTGACTTGTCAGCAGCCTGGTCACATTCCTCTTTCTTAAACAGCCACTGGACAGCTCTGCCAAAACCACAGCACATCAGCTGTGACAATTTACCTCTTAGTCTCTCTCAAACTCCTCCTCCTCCCTCCATAACTTTAATTCCAGCCTCATCCATTCTTGCTGGGTCACTCCCGACAACCTAGCCAAAATATTTACCCCTTCAGTGACACCACCCAAAAGATAAAATACAAGCTCTGTGGATTTCAGGGGTCCTCCCTCCCTCAGACACCAGTTTACCACCCACTCGCTATTTGGACAGTCAACTCTCACTCCAGATCTCTGCGCCTGCCAGGCACTCTCCCTGCACTCCTCTCCCAAATCCTCACCCGCTCTCCCAGGACTGCCCTCTCCATCTGCCGTAGCCGGTGTCCCACCTCGCTGCACCCAGGCCTCTGCCGGCCTCCCAGGAGGAGCTCCCGGCCTCCAGCCCCACCCCGTAGAGACGCGACCCACCTGCAGCTGCAGCACTTCTTGCTCCTTGAGCTGCACCCAGGCCTCCCTCTCGCGGGCCTTACGGGCCTTCTCCTCGGCCTCCCGCTGCTCCTGCTCCCGCGCCTCCTGCCGCAGCCTCGCTATCCTGGGAGGAGCAAGAGGCCGAGACTGAGCGAGCTGGGTTCCCGCGGGCCAACCAGGTGGCCCGGCCCCGCCCGCCCGTCTCACCGCAGCTCGTGCAGCCGCTGGTTCTCCGCCCGATTCCAGGCCATCAGCTCGCGGTGCTCAGTGGCGTCCTCCAGCGCCTTGCGCTCCGCCAGCACCCCGGCCCGCGCCTCGTGTACCTTCCTCCGCACCTCGGACACGAACTGCAGCCTGCCAGAGACGCGCCAAGGTCGGCACCCTCAGCCCGCCCACCCGACACTCCCGCGGCCGCCTCCCTGTTCCCGGTCCGTCACACACACCTGAGGGCGCGCATGATCTGGCGGTACTGCCGGTAACGCTCCGCCAGCACGTAGAACTCCGCAGGGTCCACCGCGGGCGGGGTCGCCACGCGCCCGACCTTGGACTTGGCCGGCGGGTCGTAGCGGGTCTTGCGGCCTCGCACGAGCAGCAGCAGCGGGGCCGGCGGCCCGCACAGGGGCCGCGCGCCCAGGTAACTCAGCGGGCGCAGCATGACCGAGGCCGCCTCGCGTCCGGCGCGCCGCAGGGCATCACGGGAGCCCGGAAGCGGCCGCGGGGCACCACGGGACTTGAAGTCCAAGGTCTATCCTGCTACACAGTACCCGGGAGCCACTCCAACGGCGCCCAAGGCCCTGCCCGTCTGCGGTCCCCCGCCGCGGCTCTGGCTGCGCCCTTTCTGCGGGGCAGTCCGTGTCCCTTCCGTTTGCAGGCCAGGTCCGCGTCCCTCCAGAACCCAAGCGGGGAAGGGGCTCAGTGTGAGAGGAAGACAGAACTTTACGCAACTTCCGGAATCTCATTAACTTTATTGGGCGGCAGTGCGTTGCGCTCCGGTCCAGTCCGCCGGGGAAGGGGATGGTCATTCCAGTGGAAGCTCAGGTCAGCTGGCCTGTCCCGTCCCTTCCCCTCCGACCTGGCTCCGCTGAGGCAGGCTCCTAACCTACAGGGCTTCACCACCCTGGGCGTTACCCACCCTAAACAAACCTGATATGTAAAAACCTGAGCTCACACGGATTTAAGTTAGGCAGTAAGGTTTTGCCATATAGGAATCTACTTACTACTTTCACCTTTAGTTACCATGCTCTCCTGGTGCAATTTAAAATACTATGTGCAGCCCTAACCGGTTTGGCTCAGTGGATAGAGCGTCGGCCTGCGGACTGACGAGTTCCAGGTTCGATTCTGGTCAAGGGCATGTACCTTGGTTTTGGGCACATAGCCAATAGGGAGTGTGTAGGAGGCAGCTGATCGAAGTTTCTCTCTCCTTGATGTTTTTAACTCTATTCCTCTCCCTTCCTCCCTGTAAAAAAATCAATAAAATATATATATTTAGAAAATAAAATACTATGTGCAAAATAGTAATAATCCATCTCCACACACCTGTGTTCTGCTAGGACTTTGGAGGACTCTGCAATCACTACCATTTCTAGTCAGTGACTACCCGTCAATGTGAGGTCCCACCTCTCACCTCTTCCCACTGGCAGGGGAACACAATAATTCCCTAGAAAACAAAGAAGCCTGGGGGACCCCACTGCAGTCACTATCTTTCTTTCAGAGGTTTTTTAGTGCAGTACAATTATTTCCTACTCCATTAGTGACTTCCAATCTTCAATGTAAGTATCTTATAAATTGTTTAGTTTCTGGGAAACAGAATAGCAGACAGCACCCTGTTTGTAAGAAGCTGGGGCACTAACAGCTGGGGGTGCTGTGGCAGGGGATGTCTCAGTGCTGTCTACCCCATCTTCCATTCACATGGCCCTCAGTCCTTAGCCACTATGGCCTCTGGTGGCCAATGCCTGGGGCCTCTCACCCTACTTACCAGCAGTGTCTGCACCAGGTACTGCTTCCTGTGGAGGGTCCCCTGGCCTGTGGTCCTGCCCTCCCAGGGCACACTTTGCCCCTGGAGTGTGTGTGTGTGGGGGAGCCAGGGCATTGCTTTGGAGGCTATGGCAGCCTGATCTGGGCTGCTTGCTGTAGTGCCCAGAATCCTTCCTCAAGATAGCTGAGGCTGCCCTCACTACACCAACCCCAGGTTCGAGATGGGTGAAGGAGTCCTAGCCAGAACCTTCTTCCTCCCACTCAGACTGGGGAGACCTGTCACCCACCTGGGGGCCTTGGGGCATGCTGGAGGCTCACTTTCCTCCACTGTACCAGTTGTGGGACCGTGCCCTTTCCCAGTGCTGAGTCTTTGAGGGTCCAGGTTGGGTGGGCAGCGGCAGCAGAGGCAGCGGCAGCAACAAGAGGCCTAGCTTGGAGCTGGCCATGGCAGGGCTGCTCCTGATGGGGAACTCAAGAAATTAATTTTTTAGATATGTAGTTAATAGGCTTGGTCATGCATGTAGAAAAGCTATTGTTCCAGGGACTGGAATGTATGACTGGACCTGCTCACTTCAGGAGAAACACATGCAATTTGACCTTTATTCCCTAGGAGAGCTCTAAGCGACCAAGATAGTATCTGAACCACTGTGCTCCAGGAAGAGGTCAGCTGCCCGGGATGTAGATAGAGAATCAGCACCAGTCAGCAGATGAAGGGATGCTCAGGAAATCACTTGACTGCAGCTTTTATCTGATTAACCCTTTTCCCTGAATTCCAAACCCCTCACCTACTTTCTCCTGAATAACAAACCCTTTACCTACACTTAGTGTGGGTCAGCTCAATTTTCTATCGCCTGGGGGTGGGGGAGGGGCAGGGCAGCAGAGGCCTGTTAATAATAACCAATCACTGCATTTGAGCTGAAAAGCAAATGCAAAGGCCTGGCAGGTTTGACATGTCACTGGGAGTACAGGTGCATCAAGTCCTGTGGTAAAGATGGGGGAGGGAATGGCATAATGGGCATCATGGTAGGTCGTGGGCATCTGGAATTCAGCTGCCCAGGCAGGAGGGCATACGTGAATTTCCAAGTTGACTTATTTAGCAGGGACCTGAAATCGTGTTTAATTGTTTTGAGGGGGGAAAAACCAAACAGTCTTTGTTCTTAGATGCACGGGTTAACCAAGTAATTTTTAGGAAACATTTGTTTTGTAGTTTAGTAAACATGACTGAGTTTAACATGACTTGGCTTTATAGAATGTTTATTTTAAATGGGGATGCTCTTTTTTCTGTAATTTTTTGTTTTTGCTAAAAAATCCAAACCAGAACTAAGCTTCCCAGGGGAAGCACTGGGCCCTTTCTTTCTGACAACATACCTAGCTGTTCAGGAATGTTTGCTATCCCCTTCCAGACTATAAATTCTGGCACTGATCCTCCTATTCTCAGCAGGACACAGAAAGCCATTTGTTCACTAAGTTCCAGCTGATTCTCTGCCTTGGGGAGTGGACATCATTAGTCTGGGAGTCTTGTATGGGGAAAGGAACAAAATGGA